TGTGTGTGTGTGTGTGTGTGTGTGTGTGTGTGTGTGAGAGAGAGAGAGAGAGAGAGAGAGAGAGAGAGAGAGAGAGAGAGAGAGAGAGAGAGAAATGCCATGCCCTGCCTCGACAGTTCATTGGGCTCTTCTCTGGTATGTATGCAGTACTCTCTCTCTCTCAGTGCAAGATTCTCTCCCTCTCTCACTCTCGTCAGATTCTCGTCCTCCGTTTCTCGATGTATGTTTTGTGAGCCTGGTTGCTTTTGCGTGGCTTGCCCCCATCCAAACTGGTATGGTGCTGGCTTCCGCATGCACCTGAGTTGTTATGTGGTTTGGGTGACATTGTGTTGGGTGACATTGTGTGGCATTTCTCCTGCAGGGGACGACATGGCTCTAAGGTCACAGAGGAAGAGGAAGATGAGGAGTACATTCGTGAAGCAGATGAAGATGACCCACATTTTGGTGGTGGCACACGCCTGGTTGCTCAGCCATCCTGTAAGTTCCGCCCCTCCCTTCCCCCCCCCCCCCAACCCCCCCTCTCTTTTGCGTCATCGTTGCGCAGTGGCCATGCTAATCTTCTCTGCATCGTTCCAATTTTAACGGATGTCCTGAAGCACAGCCATCCTGCGAGTTCTATAGCTATCTATGTTGTGTTTTCCGGTGATGACACACATTTTGTTGGTGTAAGTTCTATAGTGGAATGCTCTCATGTGCTCAATGCGAGTGAAATGGCATATTGGTTTGGTTGCGCACAAAGGCATGCATGCACCACCACGTAGATAATGCATGGAGCTCATTTGACTATTCTATGTTGAAAACCAAGTCCAGATTCATGCGAAAAGTAATACTGTCCTGTATGTATTGTATGTTGACTACGTCCAGATTCAGTCATGGAAGTCCTAGTCTGAGTGTCCCCTCATGCCAGCACTATATTATGTATGGCCTACAATCATCCCTTCGCTTTTCGAACAAGTCGCCAGGATGGAGTTCTTTAACGGATTTCTTTGACGTGAAAAGATGAAATTGCTGGCAGGAGAGGCACACGGATTGTGTGGGGGAGTCCTTGTTGGGTTTAGCATTGCAGGGTAGGTCGGTTGTTCCTCTCTGCGCCCTGTGACCCCTCTAGACTCTGGGGGCAGTGTTTTTTTGCCTTGCTTTCTTGCAGAGTCTCCCTGATGAACACCGTCTTCTCCCGAATAGAGCGCCTGGTCACTACCACTGTATCTAAACTGAAAATTGCACCAAATACAGGCTATAAGGACCGGGCATTACTTTTGGGTGAAGACGGTAGTCGACATCAACATGAGGTGGCTGTCTGGCAATTGACTTTGTCTCATGTACAGCTTGCAGCATGCTGTTTCGGGGTTGAAGGGATCTGCGGGGGTTGTTTGTGCGGTCTGGATGGTCGGTGTATCTCGTTTGTCTTCGCCCGCCACTCGCCTGTTACTCGAAATTGAGAAATCCAAGTCTTCTGGTTGTAGAAACAGGAACATATTAAGAAGAACTCCGCAGTCTCTGAAGCAGGCACGGCATGATGCATCTATCTGTTCTTTTTATCAATGTGCATGGTCCTGGCCTGGCGTCTCCGAGCGGCCTCTCGTACGAGGCCTTTCCTGAATGTGTCCTACCTTCATTGCATCCAGATTCGGTCGCGAAAATTGGCTTTACGAAACGGGCAAGCATTGTACGGCCTTGACGTCTTCCAGAACTCCTCCATGTCCTCCCTCTGAATGCTTTGCTTGCTGTGGGAATGCTTTGTGTTGGTTCCTGTTATGCACGACACTCCACTGTCTCCAGTGCGCTGTTGTTGTGGCGATCATAAAACGGGCATATCATTGGAAAGCTACGAGACTTGCAGCTTGCGGACTTGAACTCATTGATCGGGTGTGGGTTGTCCGATTTCGAATGCTGGTCCCTTTCTTCTTGTTGTGGGGAAGTTGTGTGTGCTGATTCCTGTTATATGACCCTCTGTGTGGTGGTGTTGTGGCCGTCATGTAACAGGCATTATGGGAAAAATGAGGGATTACCAGCTTGCAGGCTTGAATTGGCTGATCAGACTCTACGAGAATGGCATTAATGGTATCCTTGCTGATGAAATGGTAAGCAGAACTCTGAACTGTGCATTTTCTGCTACTCTTCTAAGTTCTTTCCGCCATCCCCTTCCGCCTTAAACCACCACTACACGACCCCAGCCTTGCTGAAAATGCAACTCGTCACCTACAAAAATTTCAGAGGCTGCTGGACGACAATGGCTGGCGGCGACACCAGCCAAAAAAGATGGTGCGCCGCTGGGCGGCGGTTCGGAAAAGCTTGGCGCACAGTGAGGCGCCTCCAGGCCCGGGTGTACTGGTGGTTTAATCTGCTATCTTGTCAGTTCTTTCTGCTTCTGCCATCCCCTTCAGCTTTAAGATTGTTCCTGTCACAACTGGCTGAATGGTCTGCACATGTCACTGTTGATATGAACCAGATTATGATTTTGAATCCCAATGGGATCAGAAATTTCAGATGGATACTGTAATGTTAGGGACTACCCCCTAACTAATCAGCGGGTAACTAGTTCCTTGCACAGCTGGCTGAATGGTACATGCATGTCATAACACAGACCATGAGCCCGAATCGTGCGGGAATCAGATGGATATATTCAGTAACTGACTAGGCTACCAGAGTGGCCCAGGAACACTTGCCCGGCCTGGGAAAAAAAAAAAAGAAAAAAAAAGAAAAAAGATTATGTTTAAACTTTTTTTTTATTTGAATTTGGTAAAGAATTTTGATGCGACCGTGAGGCAAGAGTTGTTCAGTTTATTTTTCTGCATAACATAGTTTTTGCAATCAGACTCGGTTTCATTCACACTTCATATGCATGCAAACGGGTTGCGCAGCAAACTGGCGACAAGCGCCCACTCAAACTCAGAGATATAGTAACCAAGAACGCAGCTCAGACACAAGTTCACTTCAACTGGATATGGCGGCACATCGCCTGCACACGTACTGAGGTTGGATCCACCACTTGCCCACTTGCCTCTGCCTAAACGTGAGCCCACTCCGAAAGGCCACTTCCGGGACCTTCCGGAAGTCTGTGGATTTGGCCTTTCGGGTACTGTAGCAGCTACGACCTTGACCTTTCAGGGCTGTAGCAGCTACGACCTTGACCTTTTGGTAGGCCTATAGCTACGACCTCTACAGAGCTGTGACCCTTACTCGACAGACCTACAGATCGAATCTCTTCATCTGCACAGTCCTATGACAGGCAAACAACAACTAACAAAACACAGGTCACGGGTTCAAACACTCAGGGGTCAACTCGATACTGTACACAGGTAAGGTCAGAACTAGGGATCGAGCCCTGGGATCTGCATTTGCTACTGCTAGCAGGTGAAAACCGTTTCATTTTTTTTTCCAGATTTTTTGGATGTTTTTTGTTTTTGTTTTCTGGGCAAACAAGGTGTGACCCGGGCGGCCTGGCTGGTAGCCTAGGTAAATGAGTGAAAGGAAAGTTCCTGACGGGGACTAGAAGGAACGAAAAAGACGTCCTTGCCCATACTTCAACCCATTGGTCTCCAGGACTACATTTCTGATTGACTGTCATTTATTGTTGGAAAGGGAAGCTTGCGATTGCTGAATGCGGATTTTGTTCGGCAATCTGTTTGTGGTTCAGAGAGATGCTCGAAGGGAACAAATAGTTAATGTTGTCAACATGAGCGTGCAAATAAATGCAGGGCCTGGAATTGAAGTGCATGGGAGTGAAGTGTGAAACAAATCATTAGGGCTTTGCAATTACATCTTTGATATTGTACGGTTGGTGAATCTGTCCTTGGTGTGCACTTGCTTCTAGGTTGTGTACTACACCCATCTATTCTTAGCCGACGAGTTAATGGTTCGCATGCTGTGGACTGGTTGCTGTTTTGTTTGGACTTTAATGTGCTATGAATTGATGCGATTCGATGTGATCCCGAGGGCTGTCGCCTCTTTCCTGTCTCGTCGACCGTTCCGAGAAAGCTGTTGCTTTTGCCTGTGTTCCATCATCTGATCATGCTAACGATGTTTTATTTGTTCTGATGTCCCAGGGTCTTGGTAAGACTTTGCAGACAATTTCCCTGCTTGGGTATCTCCATGAGTTCAAGGGTATAACAGGTCCACATATGGTGGTTGCACCAAAATCAACACTCAGCAACTGGATGAACGAACTCCGGCGTTTCTGTCCAATATTGCGGCCAGTCAAATTCCACGGGAACCAGGATGAGAGGGTAAGGGCTTATGGTGTCTCATGCTTCCTTTCTGCCTGTCTGTTCTTACTGCAACCATAGGCGGTGAAGAGAGAGAGAGAGAGAGAGAGAGAGAGAGAGAGAGAGAGAGAGAGAGAGAGAGAATGAGCAGTATGTAATGCTATATAGTGGTGACATATGAGCAGTACGTAAGGCTATGTATGAGGCTAGGAATATGTTTTTTTCCCAATTGTTGTTGCCTAGTTGTATGCATGGGCCAAGGTGGACTCTGATAGAGGTGTTGGAGGTCGGGTGAACCATTCGGACCATCCAGACGGACAATTCGGGCATCTGGCCAGGTCATCCTGACCCCAAAACGTTAGCCTGAGGGAAGCACATTTCCTCTCACTCTTGTTGGCTTTCTGTTAAGGCCCTGGCCCAGTACTGTGGCGCGGTTTCTTTTATGTCACGTGTCTGAACGTATGTTTGTTTGCACGATGATTGTGGGACACGTGCTTGTTATCTGTTCCGAGGCTTTGAACACCTCCGTGTGAATCAGGGACTCACACTATCAGTCCCAGAATTGTGGCAGAGTTTCTTCTGGATGATGATGTGTCTGCATTGCGGGCAGCCACTTACAGGATCTTGATGATATTATACGATTTGCTTTTTTATTTCACCCCTCCCCCCCCCCCGATGGATGGCAGATCAGATATTAAACTGATCAAAACAGATACTACACTTGATCTTAGCCAAAAGGCTGAGAGAGGTATTCGATTGTAATTGTTTTTTATTTTTCCTCTTTTCTTCAGCCCTGAAAGGGAAGCCAGAAACCTGACCGTTGTAATTATAGTACCTATTATTTGCGCAGTTATCTATGAATGATGGAGTTATGTGGGGAGTAGGTGTAGGACTTGCAGATTGCTTCTCTCTCTCTTCGTGTTTATTTCTTTTTTTTTTGAACAAACAGCTTGCTTTGCTTTGTCAGTGTGTTTGGAAAACTCCCCAGGGAGTATCATCACAGTTTCTCTCTTGCTGACAGTTCCTGCATGGGGTACATTGGTACTTGTGTGGCACATGAGCGGTGCACTGCATGCCGTGTGGTGTACGTGGTGTACGATGTTATCTATCATTGCTCGGGGAGGGGAGGGAGGGAAAGAGGTGAGAGTGGAGAAATAGTGTGGCTGTGAGTGTACACACCCTTGCACAATGATGAGCTCATGAATTGAGGTAACGTGTGTTCTTTCCTCCTTTGTCTTCCCAAAAATTTCCGCATTTCTCGATTTGTGCTGGTCATCCTTGTCTGATGCTTGGGGCCTGGCCACGTGACTCACAGAACGCTAAAAAAAGTGCACAGCTGTTTCTCTCTCTCTGGGCCTCATTCCTCTGTTCGCCAAATGTGAAGTTTGCTTAGACTGGCTTACATTTTGGGTGGAGATGCCAATTGGAAGGAGGGAGGACTGATCCATCCATCGCACCCTTGTACTTTTCTCGAATCACCTTTTGTTGCACAGGCCTATCAGCGTGATGAACTCCTTGTTGCCGGCAAATTTGATGTGTGTGTTACGAGCTTTGAGATGGCCATCAAGGAAAGGAATGCCTTTCGGAAGTTCAATTGGAGATATATAATCATTGATGAGGCACATCGAATTAAAAACGAGAACTCCATTCTGTCGAAGACTATGCGGATCTTTAACACCAACTATCGGCTTCTGATCACTGGCACGCCTCTTCAGGTTTGATTCCGTGTTGTGTATTCCTTTTGCCTTCCTTCTGCATCCCATGATTGATCGCAATGCGCCCGTTTCAGCTGCTTGCTCTCCGCTCTATTCAGTGGACACCATATGGAAAAGGGGGCGTGTTCTTTTCAGAATGGCTTTGCGGACATGTCTCTTAAGGTCGGGTCACTGCGCTTGCTTACCTTTCCTCTAATTCTGGTTGTGATGAGAACAATGATCTTCTTAATACAGTGACCCATACATGTACTCACTCGTCTTGTGGTGTCGTTCACAGCTAGCAAACAGTAGTTGATTTTATGTGCCTGGTATGTGGTGGGGTGACTGAAATGCCAAGCTTGCCCTTTGGGACAACACCTTTCCCATAACTGCCTAGTATTCCGATCTCTTCCGGTGGTTGGTTGATTGCTGTATATATGTAAACTCCAGTTTGGGCCCCAGCTGAATGAAAGACCCGTCCATGTACTCGCCTTGTGGTGTCGTTCAGAGATAAGAAACAGCAGTGTGGTTTGATTTACTGGTATCTGGGGGGTCACTGAAATGACAAGCTTGCTGGATGGGACGACACCTTTCCCATATTGGCTGGCAGTCCGGTCTCCTTCGCTGGTTGATTGCTGTATATATGTCAGCTGCATGAGGGATTAAAACACCGTTCTTGCGAATGAGTGCATATTTTCTCTAAGAAAAAAAAAAAAACCCATCGGTTCAGGCCCCAGGTGAATGAAAATCGTGGCCGTGCACAAGGAGGCCACGGAAAGGGTTAATTAAGCCTACCTGACAGAAGGGGGGGTACTGAGGGGTGTGCAAAATTTGGAGTTGTCCCAACTCTATTGATTCTTAGCTTGCAATTCCGTTGACGGAAAAATCTGAATAGAATCAGATCAGATTTGCTGTTCAGCCGGATGCCTAACTTTTCAGGGGGGGCAAGCCAAGCCTATCTAGGTGAAAATTATCGGTTCGACGAAGTAGGGTCGGCTGAATCGGTGGTTTAAATCATCGAGACCTCTGTCCTGGGGGTGACATTTGTTGGAAGTGGTGTTTGTTTGGTCCTTCATATTCTGGACTGGGTGTAAGATTGCTTGTTTGTTCTCTCACGCCTACTTGGCCCATGCATGTCCCGCTCATGTCGCGTTCGTTGTTTCCATATCGATGGATGTGTGTCCTGCTGCTTGTGGATTTGATGCCATGTGACGTCTTTTGTTGCTCACAAGATCTGTGAGATCTCCGGATCATAGGAATACCTCGTGCAGTTTGGCCACACCTACCTCTGTTCTTTTCTTTTTCTATTTTGCAAACTCTGCACTGCCAGTGTTTAAACCAACAGTTCAGTCGAGCCTTAAGTGGATGAAGCTAGGTTCCAAGGTTTGTGAGCCTTGAACTGTGCCTTTTCAATGTGCCCTGCGACTTCTTTCACTACCAGCCCAGGTGCGAATCGAAATGTTCTTAGAGCAGTACTCTCTGCTTTGGGTGAACCGGCGGTTTAAGAGAGATGTATTGCCCCTAAGGAGGGATGGCATTACGTTCAGATGGTGCTGGTGGGCAATGTTCAATGCCATGCTAGGCCATAGCTAAAATTTCAATCGATTGGCAGACCAAAGGGGAACTTGGTCTCTTAAAATTTTGATCAGATTGGTTACACAGTCGAGCAAAGAATTCCTATTTGAAAATACCTGTTCTTTTTCCGTCCCCCCGCTTGCCCTCCACTGGCCTCCTTCCCCATCTTCTATCATTCCTCCTCTCCCTTGCCCAATGAAAACAAAGGAAACAGATGGCAAAGAAAAAAAGAAAAAAAAGAATGGGAGATGGTGGGACATCCGCCTAAGCAGGTCATGCCCACACAGCAACGTCCTCACTTCAGTCTGGCGAAGGGAGCAAAGTTCATCAAACTGATTTTCAGAAAACAGTGTCTGGCGATGTATTGTCACTATTATGTGCTCAGCTTGTGTGGTGCTTGGCGAATGTCTTGTACCCACCCTTGGTAGGGGTGAGCTCTTTCTTTCTTTGTTTTATTTCTCCTTTTTGCCTTTGCAAGAAACTCAATGGAGATAAATATCTTGGGGAAGAAGCTGAATGCAGATAAACAATCCTCCTTGTATTATAATCTCTGGGAAGGTGTAAATACTAAATAGTAAATACTAAATCGTAATTAACAGGTCTGCTGATTTAATGTTCTCTTGGGTTGATAGAAAAGTCTCATGAAGTCTGGATGTGGGACCTGGCAAGTGAATATTTAGCTGCTGAATCTTGTGCTGAATCTGCTGACTGGTTTTTAACTTTTTTATTACTATTATTATTATTATTATTATTATTATATTATTATTATTTTTATTCTTTTTTTTTTTTAACTGTTGGGAATTGATCCCTGGTTGGATCTGGATTCGAACCCCAGTCTGTATTTCAACAGTTTGTGGGTGTACCAGCCAGTGTAGGCCCATTGGTGTGCTGATAGATTTCCTTTTTTTTCTTGTTTCCTTTTTTTTTTTTTTTTTTTTTTTTGGTTTCTCCTCCTTTTATGCATGTCATTTTTGTATAGGGACCATGCTAATCTTCTCTGTATCATTCCAATTTTAAACGGATGCCAAGGCCAATGGTCGCAGTTCTTCGTCGATCGTGGTATTATGGATAGTACCATCCATAGTCCGCGACCATATGCACGGCCGACCAACCAGATTGGAGTAAAACATCCATATATATGCCAGAAGGAAGAAAAGTGGCAACGTCTGAACGATCTAGATTAGTAATGAAAAGAAAGCGGAAGACAGCTGCCAATTGAATTGTATTCGAGAAATCTGTTTAGAACTCATCTAACTTTCTGGTTCCTGGCTGGTTGTGAATGGTTGGGTGCAGAACAATCTTCATGAGCTGTGGGCACTCCTCAACTTTCTGCTTCCTGAGATATTTAGCTCTGCTGAGGTATTCGATGAGTGGTTCCAGCTGTCTGGTGACAATGACCAGCAAGAAGTGGTCCAGCAACTGCACAAGGTAAAGTGTCTTCAACCTTTTGTATCTCGAAGATGCCACACCAATTGCAGCTATTCTGTGCTGTGTTGGTGCTTTAGAATGAGCTTGTCAGCTAACCTGACCGGATTCATGCTCATGTTGATGCTTGTGTGACGAGGATCAATTCTCTGTCTGATTCTGCGTAGCACAGCGAACTTGTTCGCGCCCCTCCGCGTTCGCACGAACGGCTTGCGAACGTGTCCGGGCGAACATACAACGATACAAGCAACTTTTGCCTCGGAGTCATGTACAAATTCTTAGCCAAACGTGAGTTAAAAGTCAAAAACCGAGATTTTTTCCGATTTTTTTTGTTAAAAAAAAATTCTCGGGTTTTGATTTTTAACTCACGTTTGGCTAAGAATTTGAACATGACTCCGAGGCAAAAGTTGCTTGTATCGTTGTTTTACATTACATATATATTTTTCAGATTTTTCAGAGTTTTTTTTTTTTTTTTTCCGCGTTCGGAGCGTTTTGGGCGCTCATTCGCATTTGGGCGAGCATGTTCGCGTTCGCCTCCGAACACGAACACGATGCTTCACAGGTCTGATTTTTGTTATTGCCCAACCCTCCTCCTCCTCCTGTTAATCTTTCCTGTGGCATAATTTGGCCTCGATCTGATCTATATCTAATCTATCAGAGCAAGTAGTTACAACTTCTCTTCATCCAATAGAGATTGGTGGGCGTTTGACGGGAATAGGAATTGAAGTTTGAACCTATGACATTCAAATTATGAGCCTGACGGCGACTGCTATATGAACTACAAAAGTCCTTGGATGTGTGTTTTCGCTCGCCTCTGTTAGTTCCGAATGTGTCCTATTTTACGTGAGTTGAATGCTTGCATGTGTGATGAGGAGTAATCCTACCTCGAGTCTCATTATCACCTGACCCTCCTGCGCGCGTTTTCTCTGAATCTTTCGGTGGCATAATATGTCCTCACTAGAACTGCTATATAAACTCCAAAAGTCGTCGGATGTGTGTTTTCGCTTGCTTCTGTAGTTTTCAATGTCTTATTTAAGTGTTTCAAATGCTTTGAATTGTATCTTGTGTGTGCCGAAAAGACATGCACATGCAGAGCGCATAGCGCAACATGCTCGCCGCACTGGTGTGGTGATCGTGGTGCATCCACACCCTAAAAGATTAGTCGAAAAACATGGTGATCGTGGAACATGCACACCCAGAATGATAGTCGAAAAACATTACAAGATGAAGCATGCGATACTTCTTCATATGCTTTTTTTTTACATTGTATCAGTTTGTACCTTTGTATGTGTCGAAAAAGGTGTGAATTTTAAAAATCATGGCTTGTAAATCAATCTTAGGATTCTCTAGCCATGAGAGTCTAGATGGGTACCAATTTCCGTATGGTCAGGTCACTCTGCAGTTCCTGATCCAATCGTTTTCTGTTGATCCGCATTTTCAGATCTGAGTTTGGCAAATGCGGATACGTAGAGCTGTTAAGTATATCTAGGCAGAGCGGCAGAGGGGCAAATGCTAATGTGTTAGGTGTGTGTTGTGTGTGTGTGTGTTGCGCCATTATACAGGTCCTTCGGCCTTTCCTTCTTCGGCGCCTTAAGTCGGATGTCGAGAGAGGGCTGCCTCCCAAAAAGGAGACGATCCTGAAGGTGGGGATGTCGGAAATGCAGAAGAATTATTATCGAGCGCTTTTACAAAAGGATATTGATGTTATCAACAGTGGAGGGGAGCGATCTCGACTGTTGAACATAGCAATGCAGCTGCGCAAGTGCTGTAATCATCCTTATCTGTTCCAGGGTGCGGAGCCAGGACCACCGTTCACCACTGGAGAACACTTGATCCAGAATGCAGGTATGCGTGGGGATTGACTACCGTTTTCTCCTGAACACAAACGTAACCTCATTTTGACTGCATGGGACTGAAAAGATAGTTTGTATACATTCATAATCAAGGTGCGGTGTGTCTGAGGAATCGACTAGCCGGTGGAGTTTCGGTCTCTCTTCTGCAGGGACCTCGTCTGCCATGAAGTCTTTTTTGTTTTCTTGAAGAAAGTAACCTTTCATTATAGCAAGCAGAACAGGAGGCCGGGAATGCCTAAACAATCAACCCAGAGGACTGGGGCCATTACCCAGCTTAGGCTTACACTGGAAACCAGGTCCAGCGGTCCAAGTACCACAGCTGCTTTCATTCCTGGTGGTTAGTCATTTCTTCGTCTGCAGAGACTGCTTCCCCTCTTCTTCTTCCACTGCGATTCTCTGTCTCTATGTTGCTCACTTTTTCTCATCCCCTCACATGCTGCTGATAAAGCTTGTGCACTTTTCTGGACCGGTGTGCTTGTCTGAAAAGCAAGGGGAAAAGGAGCAGATAGAAGCGAAGGGGACAAACAAGAACAAGGAGAAAGGCGAAGGAAAACGATGATGTGGAAAGTCGTCATCGCAAGGATAAAAAGCGGAGGACATTGCTGATGGATGTTTATTTGCATGGGGGTTGCCAGTCATCTGTGTCTGCAACACTATAGTAGTTTTGATTAATGTCGATGTGAGTTTCTTTGCTACATGTTTTTGCGGGGCCCACTGCTTTGCTTGCCTTTGATGAGGAATGCCTTCCTGGCTTAGGGGCTGCCCCCAGTTGTGGTATGTTCTTCCGCGAGAGCATGAACCTGCCTGGAAAACTGGTCAGTGTTAGTGCGAACTTAGCATGAACGTCGACATCAGTCGGCCTGCAAGTTACTCTGGTTATCGCTTATGTGGCAGGCTTGGTTTAGCTTGTGCTTTGGTATTGATTTGTTCACCCCTGTCGCGCACAGGGAAAATGGTTCTGCTCGATAAACTGCTGATGAAGCTTAAGGAGCGTGATTCCCGTGTGCTCATTTTTTCACAGGTATGTAATTGTACCCTGGAAAAGCTTGTCGTTCTCATCTTTCTAATCCTCCCTCTCCCTTTCTCCCCGCTCTAACCACCCCCTTTCGGTTGATTTGCTGGTTCGGGATTAGTGCATTGCATTCCCTGCGAAGTGCTTCATTTTGCAGCTTGGCTGGCGTCAGCATGTACTTTCTTTGAGGCAGTGCTGATGATCAACCTCAAGCTGTACTCGTCACAGCATGACTTCTTGTTCTGCACTTGTGTTGGAATTCAGACTGTGTTACTCCCTCTTTTTGTTTGTGTGTTTTTCTCCCTCTTACTGCAAGGCATGGGATGAAGTCAACAGGGAAAAGCTCTCGTCTATCGCATTTGTGTGCTCTTCAGCCTGACTCTTTCTTCTGCATTGGTATCGGCATGTGCATGGTCATTTCCATCTTCAGAGTGCAATAGGGGCTGCGACTCGTGAGAGAGATTCGGTGCACCTACCCACTTGCCATGGAGAGGAGTAGGTGCAGATGTTTATGCTATCTGTTAGGACTGTCGATCCGCTCTCGCTTCCAGTGTCTTAGGATCATCTGCAAGGTCCAAGGGTGCAATCTCCCATGTGTGTTGGCCTGAGTGGCACGACAGCTATGTATGAGTGCCGAAGAATGAGATAAAAAAGCCTTCATAAAGGGCCGATCTAGCCACTTGCAAAACCGCCACCCATCTGACCAATACCATGCTGAGCTCTGTGACACCCCGAATGGTTAACCCGTGGTTGCAATGATATCGACTTCTTACTATGGCAACTGTATCGGAAAGAACCTTTTAGTCTCTTCAAGGGGACTCTATGAATTAGCTGTTGATGGACGAGCAGATGTCGGTTGTAGCGTGTCCTTTGGGACATCTGTTAAAATTGGAACGATACGGAGAAGATTAGCATGGGCCCTGCGCAAGGATGACACACATAAATCGAGAAATGGTCCAAATGAAAAAAAAGGAAAAAAAAAAGATGTCGGTTGTAGCACTAACTGCTTGTTATTGCGTACTGTTTGCAGATGACGCGGCTTCTCGACATTTTGGAGGACTACTGTATGCTGCGACGATATCAGTATTGTAGAATTGATGGGAACACGAGTGGAGACGACAGAGAAAGTTCCATTGAGGAATTCAATAGGGAGGGGAGCGAAAAGTTCATTTTCTTGCTATCCACAAGAGCGGGAGGGCTAGGTATCAACCTTGCTACAGCAGACATTGTTATTCTGTATGATAGTGATTGGTAAGCAACCAACGCGATAGAGGCTTGGACGGTTTGCTGCGCCGTACATGCCGCCTCCTTCTGCCACTCTATCTTCCTCCTCATCTGTTTTTTTGTTGGACCGCATTTCTGATCAACAATTGCAGGTTTTCTTCCCTCCAAGCTCTTTTGTTGTTTCCTAGCTTTTTGCCACACATGCATTTACTGCTCACAAGAGTTGTGCATTTGTAACACTTTGTCTCGCCTTCGTTGAACAAAGGCGTGTTCTCCTCCTCCATCATGCTCACATCTTCTTCTGGGATGGCTTGAACAGGAATCCTCAAGTGGATTTGCAGGCGATGGATCGAGCGCATCGTATTGGTCAGAAGAAAGAGGTGCAGGTTTTCAGATTCTGCACTGAGGTATGGGAAACATTCTTTCACACCTCACGTTAAATTGCCCATCTACTCATAGCGGGACGGAGTTTTGACTGATTGCAAAATGAATTCTGCCTCAACACTGTTGTGAGGCGCACCTGAGTATTCAGGTTGTAATTCTACTGAGCAATTACCAAGCCTGACTGAGCTTGAGCTGCAGCCCAGACTTCCAAGGGTGGCTGTATCAGTGTCCTTGTGAGTGATGGTCTGTCTCGTCTGAGTTTCTGAAAGTTTACCCTTTGTAGATGGCCGGAAGCACAAAGCACGCAGAATAGGGCAAAGGAGCCAGTGGTTGGAGGTATGCTGGAGTGGGTTGGGAAGTCTTGAGACCACACTTGTCTGCACATTGCTGACAAACAGTAGTGTTATGCTTGTCTACCGTCTCCACTCCAATACAACGTACGGTTATTATAGCTGTGTTTGGGGCAAGATACAGCTATAATGACCGCACTTTGTCTTTGGGTGAACATGGTAGTGTTGTTGCTTAGCTTTCCAGTGCCGGAAGTGTGGGTGTATTTCAGCACTTCATCGATTGATTGTGTAGAATGAGGTGGAACTCCCGAAATGCTGGGACGTGTGCTGCAGATTGGCAAGGTTCTTATATACCCGAGCCGTTCGTGCCTACTGTCTTCACCCGAATAGAATACCCGGTAATTATCGCTGTATCTAGGCTGAAAGTTGTGCCAATACAGCTATAATGACCGGGCGTTCTATTCGGATGCAGATGGTAGCACTCTGGCTGTGTAGGAGTTGCTGTGGTGTTGGCGAGGATGCCTCAAGCTGCTATTTCATGATGCTGTTATTAGATGGTTGTGGGACTGGCAAGGGCGGGGAAGATTATGACTCTGTTGTGGCAGCGGCCGGCGCTCGCATGGGGGATAGGACAGACAGTTTGTGGACATAATCAGAAAGCCGCCATATAGGTAGGTGCGGGAATGCATATCTGGTATGGGGGATCTGATGATGGAAGTGCACAGGGAAGTTTGATACTTTTGGATGCTGATACAAGTCCCAGTGAAGTCTAATGATTGCTGAGCGGGGCGAGGTATGGATCGGTACACAAAAGTTGATTGTTTGTCATCAAAGGGGGATTACGAAAATGTGAAGCCCTCTGCAAATTGGAGATTACACACACTCCCGGATACTGGATTGGGGTTGTGCATGGGTCGCGGGAGTGGATCAAGGTTTTGTGTGGAAGGTGGCTTGCACTATGTTATGGCTTTTGGGTTTCTCTTGGCTGATTAAATCACCGTTATGACCAATACTTTTTTTTTCTTTTTTTGACGATAAAAGTGGTCGTATTTCACTTGTGCCATAAAGTTCCCACTTATTCTACACCTCTCAAGTCATTTCACAGAGTCGAGCTAGAGTCAAGCTCCACAGGGTCTTCTTTCCCCGCCGATTCTTCGCAGCCCGTCCCCTTGCCTGTGGTTTTGCAGGATGGTAGAAAGGGACAGTGGGGAAATCGTTAATCCATTACCGACGATATGGAACCATGATGTGCGGGAAAGGGGAAAAAAAAACTGAACCGGCGCGGGCGCTATTCCTGGCACCAGCCATTTTGACCCGGTAGCCCCGAGGCCCCGAAAGTTGTGGATGCATACCATACATTTACACTCGTTTCTTTTGCCTGGTGGTTTAAACCGCCAGTGCCCTTTCCCCACTTGGTTTTCAAAGTCTTGCCATATAATGCGGTGGCCAAGCGGGGCTGTGCCGCTGTTGATAAATTCAATCAACGACCCATTTTCGCTTTCAGCCTTTTTTCCCGCCAGCGGCCGATGTATGGGAAAGGTACTGGTGGTTTAATGGTCTACGTTTGACTGAGATACTCCTGTCGTTCATTGTTGGTCATCTTAGGCTCTCTGGCTAAGCAATGGGCCCCACCTTTTTCAAGTCATTATTTTGCTGTTGGTATGTGCTTCAGTAGACTTGTCGATGTGTGAATCTATTGAGAATCTGGCTTTTTTGGTACTCAATCTTGTCTCTGACCGGATGACTCAACTGTCTATGTGAATTGTCACACTCAACACAGTACGCAATTGAGGAGAAAGTCATTGAGCGAGCGTACAAGAAGCTGGCCTTGGATGCTCTTGTTATTCAGCAGGGGCGCTTGGCAGAGTCTAAGGGTACGACCTGCTGTATCTTGGCCATCAATCACTTTGACATTGCGGTCATGTTTCTCGAGTTAGTGTTGCCTTACTTTGTCCTGTGCAGTTGGTAACGTGGTGCCTTTATTTTTCATGCAATCTTTTCTCTTTCATGGTCTGTATTTCCTCTATTTTGCTGAACTGTGCTCCCTTGTGGCTCTGCAGCGCCTCTGCATTTTGCGTAATCTTCTACCTCCTTCTTCACCTGAATAGAACGTACACTGTTCGGTCAATTTTGCTCCATCTGGACTGAAAGGTGGACCAAATACAGTTATAATTACTGTACGATGTGTACGTTCTATTCGGGGAATACGGTAGCAAGTACATGGATAAGGCATTCTGTTTGTCTGCCTCTGACAGAAAATGGGGGTAAAAGAATTGGAACTGGTAGCAGGTAGGTTGGTATACTCGAACGCTGTCCTTCTTGTGCACAGGTGCATTTGTCTGATGTACTGGTGGTTAAAAAGGTGGAAGGAAGGTTGTATGAGGGTGGTGCTTGCTTTCCTTTCGCCGGGAAAAAGCATGCATCGGGTAACATTTGTTGTCTTTCCCACTGGGTTTGAAGTTTGAACCCCTGCTGGGTATGTTCATTCTTCGCGTTTCCCCTTTGCTTGTTCCCAAGCTGGTCTGCATTACCTCTGCGTTGTTTATTATGTGGAAGGGCTCATGGGGAAAGCAGTGCCATTTTTTGTTCTGAAAGGGAGGGTAAGTGTTTTGTGTGTTGTACGTATTGGGCTTTTGTGTTTGAGGTTTGAACCCTCTCGCCGATTGTATAGGAGATAGAGTAAATTTGCAGAGCCCACTTGGTGTGGGTCAGGAAGGTGCTTTCTCTGGTCTTCACGGTGAATTCTGTCGAAACTCCTGGAATGGCTAATTGTTGAGGTATGCTGTACGTATTGGGCTTTCGTAGTTGACGTTTGAACCCTCTCGCCGATTGTATAGGAGATAGAGTAAATTTGCAGAGCCCACTTGGTGTGGGTCAGGAAGGTGCTTTCTCTGGTCTTTACGATGAATTCTGTCAAAACTCCTGGAATGGCTAATTGTTGATGGTGTTTCTTGGTTACAGCGGTGAACAAGGATGAACTCCTGCAAATGGTGCGCTTTGGTGCTGACAAGGTTTTCAGCTCAAAGGACAGCACTATAACAGAGGAGGACATCGAAAGGATCATCGCCAAGGGAGAGGAGGCAACAGCGGAACTGGATGCAAAGATGAAGAAGTTCTCGGAGGATGCTGCCAGATTTAAGCTTGATGCGGGTATGTGTAAGTTTTTTTGTGGGATCGCCATTCAGTCAGACCAACTTAAAACGGTGGGGCTCCTGATAAGCAGAGTGGGCACAAACAGATAGTGGGGGCTTAAGCCACCAGTCCATCCGGAGCTACATTGATGAACCAAAAAATACATTTTGCCGTGCCTGAAATCTACAGGGCACTCAGTGCAGGCCTTTGGAAAAATGAAGGTGGTAGCCCTTTCCGGCTGAACCTCTGCCGGGCCTTCGCAGTCTAGATTTTGGCCCGGTACTCGTACAAGAGTAAAATCTACAGTGCAGGGGCTGTAGTACTGGTGGTTTAAGGGTATTGCTCCGCCAGGAGGAAATAAGAAATGCTATCATTTTCCGGCTGTACGTTGCTCACATAGGCACACGTGGATGGGGGCAGCTCGCGCTCAACCTCGTCAACGTGGCGACCCTTGTGCTTGAGAGGGATGGTGAAGGGGCAGTTAAAAGAACAATGAGAAAAATGAATGGTTTCAGTGTGCTTTTCATGTTTGTCTTGTGTATTTTCATTTCTATTGTGTGTTTTGCAAAGTGCGCTCTTTTAGTTCATAGATATGTGACAATACATGGCTGGATGTAATGATGAAATGGCATGTTATTCTTGTGCAGTGGAACGAAGCCATCATTCTTCGGCCCCCTCTGCTTGAACAACCCACTTTAAGGGCATCATTCCACTGCCCTATACACAAGCTATATGAGCCATTGGTTACCGGTGTGTAATTCTAGTGCAGTGGAATTTAAGGTCTACGGTGACGAGACCTTAGTTGGCACCGGGGTTCAAGCCGCAGGGTGGTAGGACTTGTTGAAGTTTCAAGCTTGTTCTTTTGACAGCTGAGGAAATCGTGTTCCCCCTTGTGGCTTTGAGGTTTTGTTCTGTATGTGTGTGTATGGGTTAGGGTGGTGTGTGGATGCCTCTGTTAACTCAGTTGATCCATGTTGCGTGTGCCTCTGTCCATGGCTTTCTCCTTCTTTCGGTGCTTGTCTCTGTGTTCTCAGGTGCAAGCCTGTACAGTTTTGAAGGTGTGGACTATGCCCAGGAGAAGGTAAGTAATGTGTCTTCTCTCTATCTTCAGTGATCCTTCAGTCTTTCGTCATGGAATGCTCTATGACGATGGTATGGTAGGATGGAGTCGTAATTATCGCCCTTTTTCGAACTCTCGGGCCACGAGCCATGTGTACGAGCCATCCTTCCGGTCTGATACAGTCCTGATGAGGGGCGCGTTGTCCTTGAGGGAAGGCGGTAGTGGTCCAAGGCTGGCGGGGAGACAGAGTCCCACTGTCTCAGGTCAGGTATATGCCAGTAGCTGGTCTCTTTTTCTGAGCAGCTGGTCTCTTCCTGCCAGCAGCCGGTCTCTTCCTGCCAGCAGCCAGTCTCTTCCTGCCAGCAGCCAGTCTCTTCCTGCCCACAGCTGTTGACTCACTGAACGTCCAGGCTAAAAACCAGGTTCAACCAAATCAGGTTCAACCCTGCATATGTGGTGGGAATGGTACACGTATGTAACTGTTGATGAACGGCTCAAGAGTTCGAATCAGATCACGATCACATCAGCGAGAGCGTGTTGTGAAACAAATATGTCTCTTCCTGCCAGCAGCTGTGACTCTCTGAATGCGCAGGCTAAAAATCAGGTTCAACCAAGTCACGGGTTCAACCCAGCATGTGTTTGAATGATACGCATGTAACTGTTGATGAATGGGTCATGAGGTCAAAGCTTGACTATGAGTTTGATTCTTGACCAGATGAGAGTACAATCAAGGTCTACCCATCTTAAAACGAGGAAAGAAAGAAAGAAAAATCAGATGTGAGTCCTTTTCACCAAATAGGCTGAGGAACATTTGCTTGCGATTTCATAACCCCCGATGCTGTGCGAAGTTGTTCGATCAAATTGTGCATTGGTTGCCCTCTTGTGGCTCGATCGCCCTGTAATAGTTTTTTTTTAAATACATATAAATAGGTTTCTAACTTTTCATTTGTTTTTTTTTTGTACTCCGTTCTTTTTCATCACGTGCTCTGTGTTTCCTGGACGTTTTCCATCAGTGAATTTGTATGATGCTGGTTCTTTCCTGTTCTTTCTTTCTTTCTTTCTTTCTTTCTTTCTTTCTTTCTTTGTTTTCGTGTTCTTCTTGTTTTTGTGGCGGTCTTCTCTGCCTCCTGTTCACAATATGCTGCACTATCCTCGAAACTGGTTTTTCTCTTTTCTTTAGTTTTTCCTTTCTTTTTTCTCTCTCTGACGTTGGCTCTTTAGAGGTGATCGTCCATTGTGATTCTGACATTGACGCGGACATTTGCAAGGGAATGATTGCGTTGTCATACAATTTGATGTAGACTACATTTTGAGGGAACCGCTTGGGTAACCAGCCTGGTGAGGCTCTCTTAAACCCTAGGTTAAGACAGTCTGCCACCAGCAAGGTGAGGGTGTCTGAACGTAGGCGAAGAAAGAGATTGTGCGACTGTACGTTTGAGGGAACACTGAGGCTCTCTTCAACCACCACTACATGGAAGGTAGTTCTTTTTCACAAAGTGGTATTCACTGCAGGCCTGTAGTTTCCCTCTCAGACTGCGAGTAATGCTACTCCACCGGGCATCGGTAGGCTACTCAGTAGGCAAGTCAGGCCTAGTCTCCGTCCAGATGTAGTGGTGGCTATGCCTACTAACAGTTGCAGGTAGCTTACCCTTCTCCCATCCAATGCGTGTGTCCTAGAAAGAAAAAAAAAGTTCGGAGATTTTTACGAAGACGTAAAGAATTCCTGTTTTGGCAATTTGTTTGCTGATCTGGTCGTGTAGCTGGGGGCTGAGACCTGCTCTGTTTATTGATGTGGACAGGACAACAACAAGACTGACCTCAAGCGACTTATTGCAGATAACTGGATTGAGCCACCAAAGCGTGAGCGGAAGCGCAAGTTAGTGGATTCGGCCCTTCTCAAAAAAAGCCCATCTTGTTCTTTTGATTTGTGTGCATGTCTGTGACTTGTATGGTTCGCTGTTTGTTTCATTATTGCGGTCCTCAAAGTGAACCGCGTGCCCGGACATTCATCTCTCGGCTTGGTTTATATTTTGGTTGTACCTCTCTTCTTTCATCTCTTATATGTCATGGTATAGAATCATTATCAGCGCCCTTGACTGGTCGGCACCTGCCAGTCAGGGGTCGTCAGCAGCCCGCAATTGTTTTTTTTGGGGGGGGTTCCAGAAGCCCTTATAACCCCACCAACAACCCCATACCCGCCCCCAATACCCCCATACACCCCTCCAATACCCCCAAAACACCCCCNAAAAAAAAAAAAAAAAAACCCATGTACCACGCCTATACCCCCCTATACCCTCCCATCCCCCCATCCCCAAAAGTTTCTCAGCGGATTTGGGCTGTACTCAGCAAGCGCAGTACGGCCCCCAACTCAGATCTGAAAAAAAAAAACAGTGGATGGCTGTTTTCTGACTGGTCGGCAGACTGCCGACCGGCTGTCCCTACTGGTCGGCTGCAAAACGGTCGGCAGTTGGCAGGTATGCAACCCTGATCATTATGATTATGATATATGCATGTTTCCTTGATGGTTTCCTGTCTTCTGGATTCTGGTCCTTTATGTGCTTGTGATACTTTCCTGTGCTCTACTCAATGCTGGTGTTTGCTCTAGCGTTTGGTTTGTCTTCGCTATTTGAATTTTGAAGTGCATCTGCTCACTATTCGCCGTCAGGTAGTTGGTTTCGTCCCCACTTGTCTCTCTTTTTCTGCTGTGTTTCTCTCTCCCTCTCTCTCCCATGGAAGCTTTTTTCCACTTCCCATTTTATCTGCTTTGTTGTCCTCTTGCTGCGTTTCCACTTGCGTACTCGAGTGTGCTTCTGGGGTTTGGCAGAGAGCATGAGGCTAAGCTCAGGCCCCAGTAACATAAATGAAGAGCATATAGCAGGTGCTTATGGGAAGCTATGGCCATAAGAAGCACGGAAGAAAAGTCGTATTTTGGGCATACGATAACACCGTCTGTGATGCCGGAATCCGTATGCATGTGTGTGCAGCTATTCTGAAGCAGACTACTTCCGAAACACAATGAGGGGAAGCGGAGGACCACAGAAGCCCAGAGAGCCACGAATTCCAAGGATGCCACATCTGTATCCACTCTATTTTGCTAAATGAAGAACCCTTCCCTCCCGCTCCCCCCGCCCCCCTGCAACCCGGAGTTCGGTGGTGCAAGCAAGCATCTTGTTCCACGGCTTGACAACGGGCTTGTCCACACACCTTTTACCCTTCACTGCTCTCCCCTCCATCCTTTTACTTTCCCAATTCCTTGCCTCCTCTCTCGCCTCCCTCACCCTTTCTCCCATTCCATCTCCTTTTGTCCCCTGTCACCCACCCCCCACCCTACTCCCTGGCATGGACTGTGTCTTTGCTGACCTCTCTTGCAGGGTTTCCACCGCTCTGAAAACGCAGTATCGTGCTTCTTTCTGCTATCTTGGTAATTGTACTATCTTCGGCATACTCGCATTTGCAATTTCCTGCATGTATCTGGTCACAATTATGCCGAGATTCGGTTGAAAAATGCCGAGCATGAGAGTATGCTTCTCTTGTGACTACATTCTCAAACCATGACTGGATGTGTCTTGTGTACATGAATGACAGGTTTGTCAATCTGGTCTGCTTTGGGGTAACATAACGCAAATCACTACTCATGTCAGTGTGCTGTAGCCAGCAGAAAATGGGTGTTGCTGAGTTGCTGGGGTTCAGAAGCATTTTTGCTTCCTTTTTTTTTTTTTTTTTCCCTTCTTCCTAAGGTTGAGAGGTTTGTAGATTTTCACTTGATTTTGGGGTGACATGAAAAAGGGCAAAAGTTGTCGGTGTGGCGACGGCATGTGCACATCTTGCAATATGGAGATGACGACCTTGACTAACGGAAAATGCAGACATGATTTCCAGTTTTTCAATGTGCCACGTTTAACAGGACTTTACGAAAAGGAGGTCAAGTGTGTCCTGGTACGTGTGCCCCATTTGAACCTTCTTTTTTTTTTTCCGTGCCCCATTTGAACATCTGTTGTCGTTGTTCAGAAGACACTGGCTCGATATGAATGCCCACAAATTTCTGTTTCCAGCAAACAACTGGCATTAGCACAGGATCTCACTTGGACTTTCTCGACTGAAACTTGCAGTAGTGCACTCAGGAAAGCTTCCCAAGTGTGAGCAGCATGCCCTTCTTCTTTTTCCCCTCTTTTGTCTGTGGACCAGTTAATCCCTTTGGCAGCGGAAAATGTGTGACGATTCTACATATGGATATCGTGATGACAAAACACGTTTCCTTGCAGACGGACATACATGCCGTGTTAGTTGGACCATTCGACCACGAAGTTGGGTATTGGAGTTGTCATCCAGCAATTGCAATACCAGTCGGCATCCTGCGTCACGGGCAAAGCAAAGATGAGGACTGATCTTCAAAACCATTTTGCGGAGTATGAGGTCATCAAAACCACTTTTCGAGGAATGATGATAAGGATGATCATAACAACAATCTGCGTAGCACGGCAAATGTGTTCGTGCGCACGGGTCGCGAACACGTTCGCGAGAACGCGTTTTTGGAGGCCACGAACGTCGTTCGTGGGGGCCGGTACCGGTCGCCGGAGGTGGTTCTGGCGGGGGTTATGGGGCCTTGGGGTGCGTCAGTGTGTGTGTGGGTCTGTCAGTGTGTGTGTGTGTGTAATGTGTGTGTGGGTGCGTCAGTGCATGTGTGTGTGTGTAGTGTGTGCGTAAGTGTGTGCGTGGGTGCGTCAGTGTGTGTGTGTGTCAGTGCGGGTGAGTCAGTGTGTCAGAATCTCCTTCAGTGTGTGTCAGTGTGCACACGTGTGTGTGTGCGAGTGTACCAAGTGTATGTGTGTGTGTGTGTGTATGTGTGTGTCAAACAATCTGTTACAGTCTGTAGTGTGTGTCAGTGTGTGCGTGTGTGTGTGTGTACCAAGTGTATGTGTGTGTGTGTATGTGTGTGTCAAACAATCTGTTACAGTCTGTCACAGTCTATGTGACAGACTGTCTGTCACAATGTGGTGGGAAGCGCACAGACAGTGACAGAGTCTGTGGGGCAGGGGGCACACAGACTGTCACACTCTGAGTGTGCTGCCCGCCAGACTGTGACAGACTGTCGGTCACACAGACTGTGACAGACTCTTTGTGAGCTGGCCCCCACCAGTCTGTGTGCTGCAATGTCTGTTGGGCACAGTTTGTGTGTGCCGCCCAACAGACTGTCTGTCACAGATGTGTGTGCTGCCCAACAGACTGGCTGTGACAGACTGTGACAGACAGTCTGTCACATATGTGTGGCTGGTAGGGGGCAACATACACAGACTGTGATAGACATTCTGTTGGGGGGGTGCAGGGGGGATGGGGTGGATCTGGTGGGGGGCAGCACCATTGCAGAGATGGTGGATCTGCAGATACCGAGGTGGTTCAGGGACACCACCTATGCCCCCCCCCATATATGAAAAAATAAAAAAAATAGAAAAATAAAAAATTACGTTCGCGTTCGCTGTTTTTCGGAGCCTGTTTGCGTTCGGGCGAACGTGTTCGCGTTCGCCGGAATGAGGATAAGAATGATTTACGGTGTGGCATGGCTCGAATTGAGAGCGTGGTTTGGAACCTTGGAGATGTAGCTTAAACCACCAGTACTTTCTGAAGTTGTGCCCGTTCACAAGTCACAATTTTAGGAAACGTACGGGCCACTACAGGAGTGCCCAAATTCATCCGACTAGAAACATTTCTACTCTATTTTTTCCGCGGCCGATAGCTGGGCCAAGTACTGGTTAATCCGGGGAAGCAGAAGCTGGTGGTTTGGTGACGAAAGGTGCAGTGTGTGGTTTGGATTCAGATCTTGACCCTTGGACTCGAGGATAAAGAAAGTTCTAGCTTTGGAGTTGGAGTTCACAATTCAGAACATAGACTTCGAGATTGGGGAGAGGTGCATAAAGTTACAGCGAGCGATGGCGGGGAGGAGGAGGAGGAGGAGGAGAAGAAGAAGAAGCCTGTTTAAGCAGAGGGGGCTATCTGTGAAACAGTATTCACCAGTTTGCAGTAACTGATGCAGATCCCAGGGCTCGATCCCTAGTTCCCCACCTTACCTGTGTACAATACCTGTGTCAACCCGTAGATTTGAACCTGTGACCTGTAGGACCGCCAGTGGTAGGTAGGATCTCGTAGGTTACATGGGACAGGGGATTCGAACTGTAGATCTGTCGGGTAGGTGTCTAAACAGTCCAGAGGTCGTAGCTGTAGACTGTCTGAAGGGTCAAAGTCGTAGCTGCTACTTACCTGAAAGGGCAGAGTCGTAGCTGCTACAGTACCGAAAGGCCAAGTAGATGCTTCCGGAAGTGGCCTTTCGGAGTCAACCCCTGTTTAGACAGAGGCAAGTGGGCAAGTGGTGTAGGTCCACCACGCTGAGTCAACAGTCCCAGTCCAGTCAGTCCGGTCCTGTCAAGCAAGTACCGCCTGGGACTGTGTACCCCGTGGGCCAGGGAAACAGGGCAGACCAACGCATCACAGAAGTATAAATCAAGAGGCCGCGCACAGCCATGCATTCATTCCTGCGGAAGCCATGCGGAAGCGCTGCCTCAGCGTCTTGTGCGAGGAGGTCTGCAGTGTGCCCGAAGACGAAGTGGGCAGAGAAGTGTAGTATAGCGATAGGGTAGTGGCAGCTAGCGCTGCCATAGCTGTAGTGGTGTGTGTGTGTGTTGTGTGCGTGTACAGAGTGTCATGTGTGGGATATCCAGGGTGATCCAGTGTGTGAACAGTGGATGTTGGGCGCTCAGTCGCCATAGCCAGTGGAAGCAAACTTATCTGGAAGCCATATCTTTGTGTACTGTGTGGGTGCATGTCGCCAGGTTGTCGTGCTACTGTTCACGTGCATGAAAAGTGTGAAAGAGTCGAGTCTGATTGCATCTGGGGTGAATGGCCGGTTTACGAGTGCAGGCTCATTTGGATGGTGTCGAGATCTCTTGTCAACAAAGGCTTTACAGACCATCAACATGCCGAAAATGATTTCTCACGTTGCAAATCACAAATTTCATGTGTGATTTTCAAGCTTGGCAGAGAAAAGCTTTGTATCTTGCACTGCCGGTTACCAACTGCTGTCCGGTACCTCCGAGCCTGTTTTTGCCGACCCTGAATTTCACTGCGCTCCGAGTTTTGTTGAGCCTGGGTACCACTCCGTTTTCTTTCTGGTACTCTCACGGAAAGAACAAAACAAAACAAAAAAGAAGAAGAAAAGTTGCGGCCGTGAACCTCAGAAAAGAAGAAAGAAAAAAAATGAAACAAAGCTTTGGCCGTGATTGCAGTTGTATACATTCTTGGAAGTGGTAGTGTGAGTGTGCCCTCAATGAGGGCATCTGAGCCCCGTGGCCAGGTTGTCAGATTCCAAAAAGAGAATAAAAGGGGGGAAAAAAAGGCACATGGATCCAGCAGTGAAAATGGCTGGATACATTCGCCTAAGTGCCAGTGTGATGAACCTTACAATCCTCTGACAAAACACAGCTTGAGCAGATCACGGACAGCTTGAGCAATTCATGGACAGGGGACTCGTAAGAAACACACGACCAACAAAAAAAAGAAAACAGTAACATTCAGAATGTGACCGCCTTACCTGTCAGGTGCATTCTGTGGAGGAAGATTGTGAGCACGGCCTCCTGGGCTACCCAGCCCGACATCATTGCAGTAGAGAGAGCATTTTTTTTTTCCAATTTTTCCGTTCACTCACGGCACTACAAAATTCAGATTTATGGGACATTGCCGACCCTCTGTCCCACCCCGGAAAAGTTTGGGTGCTGGCCAAGACATCGTAATTTCCCAACACTGGCAGAGGTACTGGTGGTTTAACTTTCTCTTCTAAACTACGACTAAGCAACTGATGACGGATTTTCCTGTGTTTTCGCTTTATCTGTGTTTTGAAAACAGCAAGGGCATCAGAAGCAGCAGGTGAAGGAAGGCGCTGAAGGTGAGGAAGGTAGGCGTGATGGTAGACCAAGTGTTCCTTATTTCAATTCCATGGGCTAAGCTATGGTTGCTGCCCCCCGCCCGCCCCCCAATGGAATGCGAGGATATCCCATGGAATGGAAAGAAGGAAGGTGCTAAAGTTGCTGAAGGGCACCCCGCAGATCAATGTTGCAAACTAGCCGACCACCAACGCCCAACGCAGACCGTTCCACAGCCTACGAGTAGGGCTGACCGGTCGGCGGTCTGCTGACCAGTCACTGGAGGGTCATCCACTGATCTTCTTTGTCTAAAAATCTGAATTTGGGGTTGTACTGCGCTTGCTGAGTAGAGCCCAAATCTGTTGAAAAAGTTCAGTTTTGGGGAAGCGGGTTGTGGGAATGGGGGGGAAGGGGGAGGGTTATGGGGTTTGCCAGGCCGTAGGGGAGAGGCTTTGGGGGTGCTAGGGTGTGGTCATGAGGGTGTTGGAGGGGTGGTTATGGGCGGGGTATGGTATCTTTTTTTTTTTTTTTGCGGGGTGCCAACCAGCAGCTGACGGGTAGGTGCCAACACATCGGCTGGTCAGTTGTGAACCAATTGAGGGGCACCGGCCATCGGTGCGACTTCACTGCAGAGGACCATTTTTCCTTCCTAATGACCAAATTATCCTTCTTTCCATTCCATGGGGTAACCTAGCCTCCCCCCCTGCCCCCCCCCCTCGATAACCTAGGCTTTTTTTCTCCCCTGAAGTAGCCTAGGCCTCTGAATCTCTGATTGATCCCACCTTCCATTCGGTTCTCTTGCAGTCCTGAGGCAACTCAACTGACCCACACCGAACTGTGTTTTGTCTCCCTTGTCATGCGACTGTTTTTGAATCATGGGTTCATCATGTGTTTTGTTTTTTGTTTTATGTTTTGCTTTTGTAAAGTAGAGGGTAAGCTCCTACGGTTAGTGCATTCATTGGGATATGAAACCCTGACCTGTTTAGCAACAGTGTTACATGTGTGTGCCATTCAGACACTTTGTTTAATGCTCGTAATAGCTATTACCCACTCCAAAAGAGGAACTCCAAAGCAGTATGTGCACGGGTTGGACACGTTTTTTGGTTGTTTTTTAAGAAGAGGGTTGGCCCCTAAGATCAGTGTATCCAGCGGGATTTGAACCGGTGACCTGTTTAGCAACAGTTACAGGTGTGTGCCATTCAGCCACTGGTTTGACACTCATAATAGCTGGTGCCCTCTTTGAAGGAGGAACTTCAAAGAAGCGTTCGCCAACTCATTGTGCCTTTTCAAGTAGCAAGGTCTGCTGTCCTTCTGCCGGTTGGAAGGCGGCTTCTGCACCTCACATCTTTAGCATTATAAGGAGTAGAACAAGCTACGATCTGAAGTCCTGGCACTGATTGAAAATAAGATTCTAATCTTTGAGAATGTTCAGCACCTAATTGTCTTCCTACTCCTCCAGGACCACGCACTACAAGAGGAGTTGTAAAATTCCCTCCTGAAGTATAATGTAGCATTCCTGCATTATTAGCAATTTGATTAAATGCTAACAAAAGAAATCCCATATTCATTCCCTCTATAATAGGTCTAAGTCCTGTCATAGCAGCACCGATTGCTATTCCTGTAAAACTGTTTTCTGCAATTGGTGTATCAAGTATTCTCAAATTACCATATTTTTCAAAAAGACCTTTTTTTCTTCTTTTTTTTTCTAACACAGTTTGTCACGTATTCTGGAAGTAGCCGGTGATGAGTCGGTAAGTGAAACTCCGACGAAACAGTTTGTCACAGCCCCTCGTTTGTTGTCCTCTTCTCCGTATCTGCCAATGGTTTACTGGGCAGTTCTGTTTGACGATATATAGATGAGGTGAGGCACGTTTTTATTATTATCATTGGAACATGAGCTGAGGCACTTGGTTTGGGAGTGAATGGAAATGGTCTTCGTAAATCTGTAAACATTAATCAACGTTTTTGAGGCACGGGCTGTGTTTGGCTGGGCTAGTAACCCGAGCATACAATCAGAAAAGTTAAAAGAAATAAAAAAAGATCGGGGGAAAAAGAGCTAACATGCTCTGGAGAATTGTCTTATGAACAATTTGGGTGGGGGCTAGGTTACTTGGCCCACCCAGCTGTGCAGCCCGGGCAAGTCGTCCGGGGGTCACTTGCACGGGTGACGGGGCACCACCCTGTGCAGGGTAAAATCAGCCCTGTTTTCCTTTTTGGCTTTCTTTTGGGGGTGGGGGATTTCCGCACATGCCCAGAGAAGCCCAAATCCAGACTCCTGCAAGGAAAATAAGCGATAGCGAACTCCAGAAATCAAGCAGCATCATACACGTGAAACCAGATAGTCGTGACCTCGAACCAAAAGCAGAATTGCAACACGAGTTCCACCAAATAAGAGCACAGCAAAAGCTCACAAGTGACAATGTTGGAATAGTCTCATCATCATCAACAGTGAACCAATGTCGATTCCCTATCTGGCGCTCTGCGCCCAGACTACAAATGCCAGATCCTATCTAGCCTATCTACAATGCCGCTGCTGACGTCAACAGCTCCCCGAAGTATGAGCAGATCTCGGCCAATGCCGTTCGGCTCGAGCACCAGGTATGTCTCTCGCATCACTCACAACCTCGATCCCCCACACAGATGCCACCTGCACCCAAGGACCACCATGCACCCCCTCCAGCACCTCGCAGGCCAGCTCGGGTATATGGCTGCCTGCGTGTCCCTTGCTCGCCTGTGCGCGTGTGGGCGCTCGCCTGCCAGTAGCGCAGCATGTAGCAAGTGCCCGAATGCCAAATGCGAGGGCAGGCACTTTCCTAAATGGAAGTGGCCTGCCTGCTGCGTGCGGCCTGGCTGCGCTGGGCCCCTGCCCAGAAGCTTCCGGTAGGCCCCAAGTGGCTGAGCCCCAGTCCAAGCAAATCAGGCCCAGGGCCTATGGCGGTTACCCGTGTTCAACTGCTCACAGCCTGTGTTCGGTCCATGTTGCGTATCTGGCCCAGGGCCTGCGTCAGTTACATTTGAAAAAGGCAGCCAGGGCCTGGGCGCTCTCAACCAACTGGCGCTGCGCAACTGCCTGAATTTCCCCAGTTGCGTGGTAGCCGAAAGTTGGCCTCTTGTCCTTGGCAGGGCCTGCCTTCACTTAGGGCGGCCGACACTGTTGAAAACAGGGTCCAGTAGGGCTTGTCGAGGCCTTGAGCCTTGCACTCCTTTGTGCGAGGATTCTAGCCTCGGCATACCGACATAAGGCCCCTGCAGCAGGCGTGTGCCCTCTCTAAGTGAAGGCAGGCCCCCTGGATCTCAATGTGCCCTGAAATTGTCAATGCTTGCAAATCTCGTTGGGCGCCAGACAGTTGCCACGAGCCAGTTGGTTACATCCGCCTTGCTCAAGAGAATCCAAATATTGGCGAGCCTTCCTGGCTCTTTCCGGCAACGTGGTGAAAGCAGGGTACACCACATGTTTGAGCCTGGGTGGTCGGGCTTGTCTAACCAATTCCGTCCCAGGCCACTGTCTGAACGGGCCAGGGCGCAGACACTTTGGCTAAGGCTGAAGCTACTGGAAACTCGGTCTCACGGGGCAATCAAGTGGCAGCGAGCTTGCCACTTTCCACATAGGAAAGGGCCAGGCTCCGTGTTTGGCATTCGGGCACTTGCTGTGCAAGCGGCAGTGCTGCTGGAGTGTGCACTTGTGGGTTGCTTGCTGGCGCTGGCGGTGGTGCTCGTACGAGTGCGCGGACACGAGAGGAAGAAGGGCGCTGCTGAGGGCAGCGCCATAGCCAAGCACTCCATAGCCGGGATCGTCTTGGATCAAGGTCAGCGGGGTCGGTGGTGGTCTTCGTGTATGAGGGAAGACGTGTGTGAAGAAGACGAGGGCAAGCGATGAAAGAGAGATGAGGATGATGATGTGAGGGCACGCACCTGGTCTTGGCAATGGTCTGCAAGGTCGACATCTGCTTGTACTATGGTCACTGCTGCTGACTTCAACGGGTTGCACCATCATTTTGTAGTTTAGGATACTAACTGTAGGAAGTAGTCTGGGCGCTGAGCGCCAATAGGGTCAAGAGCTTCGACCCCATTTGTGGTGATGGTGGGACATGCTTTCATTGACAATTGAGCTCGCTGCTCTGATTCTCCTTCAGTGTCATTTCAGTGCATTTCTGCTTTGTGGACAGTGATCGACTATCTGGCTTTCAATGTGAATTTGCAATCTGGAATTCTGTCATTTTGCTTTTGCTCATTTCCCTTGCAGAAAGTGATGCATTTATTGCTGTGAGTTTCAAAATTTCTGCACTTGGGTAGATACTAGATACTAGATATTTGTAGCTTCTCTTTTCTTTTCTTTTTTTTCATCTTTTTTTAAAACTTTTGCAGAGCTTCTGAGCTGGTGGTGTGTGTTTTCTATTGTGTGACTGCAGACACCGATCCTCTGTCTCAGGAGGAGCGAGAAGAAAAGGAGCGCTTGTTGGAGGAGGTAGGGAAGATAACATGCACCCAGACGGGCTCCCTATCATCCTGGTTTTTAAACTTCAGCAAATTGATTTTTTTTTGTACACCCCTAGAATTCATTGTATGGTATGTATACCCCTACAATTCCCGGATCCTTCCGCAAACGACTCTTAACTGTGTTTCCACTTTCCAACTTACATGGATGGGATCCATATGTGTGGCAGTCGTCTTGCTCCGCCGCGCCCCTCTTCCCCCCCGGAATAATACCTGGGCTGGTAGGGGTGCACTTTTCAGGCCAAATATGGACATGTATGACCGACTGTCCATGTGTTCCAGGTGGCTGAGATGGTACATTTGTGAACTGCTCTGGAAAAATATGAACTATTATATGTTGTTATGAAGAGAAGCTTGAAGTTTTATTGACACGTGTGCAGATTCTGCAGGGCTAATTAACCTTTTGGCTTCTATGTTCTTTGAACTTCTTTCCCTCTGCTATCTGCAGCACCAGTGAGTTGCCTGACGTGACGAGGGGGAAGGGGAGGAGGAGAAGTGAGATGGGGAAGAAGAGAGAGAAGAGTCACCGACCATGATAATACTGTACCCCGCTGAATGGATTGTATTACGGATGAAGGAGAATGGTTGACGGATTATACGTCCTATGAATCGCTGTGGCTGATTGCTTTGCCTGGCAAAGTCAAAAGATTTGTCTTTCAGTAATCTATGAGGGATTCCATCATTCCATGATCCTTGAGACAAAAACAAAGAAGAAGACGACGAAGAAGAAGAAGAAGAAGAAGAAGAACTAGAAGAAGGAGACAGAGGAGGAGGAGGAGGAGGAGGAGGGCATGATCCTGTATCTTTGGTAAGGTAGCTCGTCTTTACTTCGTGGTGACCCAACTATAGTCTTCTCCCAAATATAATGCTCGGTGACCACGGTCGTTGTAGCTGTATTTGGGCCAAACATTCAGTCCAGACTCCAGATTCAGCTGTAATGACTGGGCGTTCTGTTCGGGCGAAAGCGGTAGCCCCTGCACTATTTTGTGTATTCGTAAAGGATTCAAACTTATGATCTGGTTAAAAAAAAAAAAAAAAGCTTATGATCTGTGGCTTATTTGTAAACAGTCACACGTGTGTACTATTCGCCTGCAGGGCACAGATACTGAAGTTGCCCGGTTCATTTTTGTCATTTTTTTCTGTCCATGTTTTTTTTTTTTCTTCTTTTCTTTTTTTGCCCTCTTGATGCAGGGGTTTTCTACCTGGACAAGAAGGGACTTTAATGCTTTTGTGAGGGCATGTGAGAAATATGGGCGTAAGGACATTGCCAGCATTGCAGGGGATATGGAGGGCAAGTTGGAGGAGGAGGTCCGGAGGTATTCGAAGGTCTTCTGGGAGCGATACACCGAACTTAATGGTTAGTCGGGGACCCTTCCCTATTTGCCGAAAAAGACCTTATTATCTGTTGCTGCTCTCTCCTTCTTGTCCCTCCGTAGATGCTGTTCATTGGTCCCTGACTCCCTTGGTCACACTTAAACTTCCTTCTCAATTGGTCATCTCACCATCTTAGTGTGCCAGTTGGCACTTGGTGATGATGTATTCTTTGTTAAGTGCCAATTTCACACATGGCATTATTTGACCGGAGGAATTTCGGAGAGTGCTGAGGTCGAGTTGCTGATCCCGATGGCAGGGTGGGGCAGAGGCTCGCCAACTCTGCCCTTGCTAGCCAAGCTCAACTGTGTGAGCTATCTGATCAGTCGATGTCTATGCGAAGAGGGATGGGTGGGTGAGATCCATCGACCTGTCATCAGTTATAAGCATAGGTGAACCACCGTCTTCTACCAAACCGTCTTCGACCAAAAATAACGCCCCGGGCGTTATGTTCAAGTTAGTAAGTTACCCCCAAAAGATCAGATTTTCGTTTTTAGTAACATTTTACAAATTTTACTTACTTTTTTTTCCGAATAGAACGCAACTTTTTTTCCGAATAGAACGCACCTTCGAATATATCGCCCAGGAATTATATTCGAATAGAATGCCCGGGGGTTGTATTCGAATGTTCCATGTGCAGAGTGCCTTGTAGAGGGGTAGTACACATGGGTTTCAAAGGGCAGGAAGGTACATGGGTTTTAAAGGGTGTTGAAAGAGGTTTTGACTTCCAATGGGCATGTTTCGGTTTGAATTTTTTTTTTTTTTTTTTTTTTTTTTTTTTTTTTCCTTTTTTTATAAGGCATTCCGAAGTGACCCTCAGCCAACAGTTGGTCGCATTGCAATTCTTTACAAACATTTTTTTTTAACATAATTTTTTGAAATATTCTTTTTTGGGGAATTTTAGGGCCCCGCCGAAGTTGTCACCAATTTACTGATTATAACGCCCTGGCGTTATAAACAGATATAACACCTGGCCGGCAGGCGTATATTCGTATACAACACCCGGGCATTATTTTCGGGTGAAGACGGTAGCCCAGGTCAGCAGTATCTGATCTGTCGATGTAAAGGGGGATGACTGGGTGAAATCCATGTACCTGTCAGTTATATTCATAGATGAATTAGGCCCCACGTTTCAAGCCTAAAGAACACTTGGAACCTAAACAAATTTCAAGCTTCACGAAGTCTCCAAGCTAAAGAAGTCTTCTTATAGATCCTCCCTTGGACTCAACCCCGTGTTATATGCGTAAGTCAACGGTGTGATCTGTCTGATCAGTCGATGCAAAGGGGTATGGGTTGGGGAGATCCACCTACCAGGCCGTGGTGTGCATAGGTGGGCTAAGTCCTTTAAATTTCGAACAAAAAGAACTCTCGAACCTAAAGAAGTCTCAAGCCTTGAGAAGTGTCGAACCTGAAGTAGTAGTCCCTTATACATCCCCTGGACACAGACCCCTATTATTATACCTGTATCTAGCCCAGCTTGCAGGCCAGATGCGTTTATCGTGACAATGCATTATGTTCAGGTGAAGACGGTAAATTCTTTTGCATAGAGCCTTCAGTGTGTCATCAAGAATCAATGTATACGTGTGGGCACATCTCAGGGTACGTGTACGTTAGTCCATCTTTTAGCCCAGATGCATTTATACTAATCAATGTATACATCTGGGCAATGTGTACAAGACTTCATCGTGCATTTTAGTCCATCTTTTAGCCCAGATGCATTTATACTAATCAATGCATGCATCTGGGCACATCTCAGCTATCATCCGATTGTGACAGTTTGACGCAAAAGCAGTTAAATTATTTGAATTGTGTAATCGATTGTCTTCCTCTATGGTGCATCGGAATCTTCTCTAAAGTCTTTTGGACTTTCAGTTGTGTATGCGTGTTTGCTGCAGTTTGTGTAGATAAGTCTTTGGTGAATTGTTTTCCTTATTAGCTTTGATATGCCATCACAAGACGCTGTGCGTATGTGGTTGCTGTTTTCAGGTAACATTTTTTTTTGCACAGCTTAATGTGACATGAAAGCCAGATGCTTTCACAGTCGCCTGGGTATTGCTCATGTTTCTAAAGTCGGTTGGGTGTTTCTGTTGTCAATGCCATGCCTACTGGGACTCTCTTCTTTTTGTGTTCGTTCATGTGTTTGTTTTTTTTTGTTTTTTTTTCTGCTGGGGTTTGGATTTCCTTCGATCTTTCGTACGGGGTTTGCAATACAGATTACGAGAGGATCATAAAGAACATAGAGCGAGGAGAGGCGAGGATTCTGCGGAAAGATGAGATCATGAAGGCAATCGGCAAGAAGCTGGACAGATACAAGAATCCTTGGTTTGAGATGAAGATTCAATATGGACAGAACAAAGGAAAGCTGTACACTGAGGAGTGTGATCGTTACTTGGTGGGTGACCTTTGCCCCGCTTGCCCCTCCTAATGTCCCCTTCAACCCTTACTTTTTTTTAACAAGGCTGCATTCAAGTGTCCTTGTCCCCTGCAGGTGTGATTGATGCTCTGAGGCTGTGCGCTGATTGGTCAATTTGTTGGTGTTGGGGTAGTTAGTTCTTTGCTCCATGCCAGCTTCTCTCGACTACGTGCTTATGGGGTTTGAACAAGTGACTTTGCTTGATAGCGTCTTGGAGTTTTGTAGCTCACAGTTGGGTTTGAAAGTTGGTTGTGTGACGACTCATCGGGAAGGATAATAAGGGGAGAGAGAGAGAGAGAGAGAGAGAGAGAGATAGAGAGAGAGAGAGAGAGAGAGAGAGAGAGAGAGAGAGAGAGAG